AGACGATCGTGAAACATATTGCGCAGGTCAATCGTAGACAGTGCGGTCGAGGGAGCAGACAACAACATGCTAGGCAAGGCCAAAATCAAAGCNCAGCACATCTCTCGCTCTTCAGCGGTATAGTCCGAGTGGACGGCAGACCAATACAGCTGGCTCAAGGTGGCAGCCATCAGCTTGGTCTCGGTGGCGTTGGATGGGTAGCGGCTGCGCTGCATCAGTGGATGCCGGGCGAGCTTGAGCAGCTCGCAGACACTGATGCGAGACCCTACACACTGTTGGGGCCAAGCGCCACGCATAATCTCAAGCAGGTCGTGTCCAGCCGCATGAAACAACGCCTCGGTCGCTCGCTTCAGATTGGCACCACATCGGGAGCGGTGTTGACTGATACCAGCAGCTTCGAAGAAGAGGTGACACTTGTTGCACTGGGCGACCAATTTGGCCTCCATCACCTGCTTGACCAGATCAGTGGCTTGCTCGTCGTAGGGGTGCTCGCGTAGTACATGATTGACCCAAGCTTTGCGGTCAAGGCGGGGCCCCTTGCATTTGCAAAGCCCAAATGGGCAGGCGAGGAGTTGCCTGTGGCCAGATGTCTTCAGCAGGACCTTGCGCTGGGCATCCAGCACGTTGGCAGCGATGGGCGGAGCGGGATCGCTGAGAAGAACATCTTGCTCACTCTCACTGTGTTCGCCCGCTGTATTGTGTGTTTCACTTTCACTGACTTCGCCAAGTGGGGCAGAACAACATTGATCAAGTCCCGCCCGAGCAGATCAGACCCGAGCAGATCAGGCCTGACAAGGACGGGCCCGAGCGGATCAGGCCTGACAAGGACAGACCCGAGCGGATCAGATCCGACAAAGACGGGCCCCGAGCAGATCAGACCCAAGCAGAACAACATTGATCAAGTCCCGCCCGAGCAGATCAGACCCGAGCAGATCAGGCCTGACAATGACAGACCCGAGTAGATCAGGACCGAGCAGATCAGACCCGAGCAGAACAAACAAATAAATTAGGTGTTTGAACCTCAGAGCTGAAAGCCAAGCTGTGCAACCCCGACATCAAAATCACTACGTCACGCAAAACAACACAAGAGAACAAGACACATTCACCGGCTTCTATCATGCCGAGAAGTACAAGCGCAAAAATCACGCCCATAGAAACAAAAATCATAAAAAACGACCAAGTATATTAAGAGATACAGCCATTTCAAACACTAGACACCCAAAAACGGCAGTCAAGCATCACAAATATAAGCCATCACAGCACGATCACACAAAAAACACCACGGCACGCTCACATACAATAAGGCACAACGCCGGATTGAGAAAAGAACCGACCACAGAAGAACAAGACATCATACAACGGACTTTACAAAAATTCAGGAAAAATACCACACAAATACGGTAAAAATTAAAGCAAAATTAAAACAAAAATACAAGTCAAGCCATGAAAAGATCACAACGAGAACCACCTAGGGAGGGACAGGTGCACACAGGGATCCCCACAGAGGGACCCCCGAGGCGGTGCCTACCTACGACGAGCGCAGGCAGACACCGCCAAAGTGGCGCTGGATGTGGTCAGCGTTCATCTGATGGACCAGCGCCGCAAAGCGACTTTTCCACCGAGGAACAAAGGCCTCGTCCAGCCCCGGCTGGTACACACCACGGGCCTCGGCGCAGCGGGCGAGCTGACCAAGCAGATCCACAAAGGAGGAGGCGAACCCACCGGTTGTCGTCATCGCCGCAGGGACGATCAGAGTTTTTCCATGGTTGAAACCGGTGTAGTAGTCGCGCTTCTCCTTTTCGGCTCGGCGAAGGGCAGCGCCCACCTTGATGCAGGCTTGCGAGATGGTCGGGGGTTGGGCTGTGCGCACAGTCACGTCAATGCCCAGGTCGGGCAGAGCTGGGCCCAGAGCACCGCCGGGAAAGGGGTTGCGGCAGTGCAGGTCGATGCGGCAGCTCTGACCGTTGGCGTTGTAGCCAGACTTTTCCACCCAGACATGGGAGAGGGTGGCGTACCTGAGCAGGCGGCCCATCTCGTCGCGAAGGGCGTTGTGACGCTTGATGGGACGGCAGGTCAGCAGGTGCTCGCGGGTCAGTCGCGGCTGAGGTGTCTTGTTGCTGCAGAGCGGGCACTTGTCCGTCGGCTTGACGTTGATGAGTTCATGGAGGCCAAAACCCATCATGGACACGACCGCAATGGCAAAGGTCGTGTCGCTCAAGCGACGCAACTTGTCTCGACCCCGCATGGTCAAGACAGTGCTGACGCCCCACTCACGTCAGGCCAGATATGCCTGCTGCAGGTCCAGCGCGCACTTGGCCATCAGGTCATCCAGTGCCGCCTTGGAGCGGAGGGCAATGATCTCAGCTGGTCGCTGAGTCGCTGCGTCCTTGACCGTGGCCATCTGGAAGCCAGCTTGCTGCACGTGGACCTCAAAGTCGGCAGCCCTCGATGCATCCTCCAAGAGCCGATCGTAGACCCGAGGGTAGTGAGTGGCCAGCTTGGCCATGTTGCAGACATAAGCCACCGGACCGCGCTCAACCAAGTCGTGCAGGCCAAAGCCCCCGGTGTTGGCCCGCGTGAAGAGGCGAGCCTCAAGGAGCTGTTCTAGCGTAACGTCATGACCTTCAGCTCCAGCCGGTGCAGACAGGTTTACCTTGGCAAAAAAGGCTTTGACAAAGGTGTCCATGCAAGCACGGTTCAAGACCTCGGACAAGCCCGACGTCAGACTTGGGGGCAGGATGTAGAGGTGGTTGATGAGGCTTGGCACGTACTGCATGGCCGTGAGGAGGGCCTGAAGCGAGACACCGGTCGCCAGCATGTCATTGAGCTTGCCAGCAATGTGCTTCGCCTTGTCGTTCAGCTGCCTACGCATGCACCTCCCAGGAGGGGTCAGGCTCTGTTAGAGTCAAATCCTTGGTTTCAGGCGCCTCAGATCCTGACAGGTTCAGCAGGTCTGTATGTGGCCTTTTGTGTTTGTCAGGGAGTGAAGTTGTATCAGCTTTGGAGGTTTCTGTGGGAAAACCTATTGTGGATGTTGCTGGGTGTGTGCATAAGCAGTCAGAGTGTTCAAATGCGTTGGAGATTTATTAAGAAAAATGGCATTGATAAATTCAGCGGATCTGCGTGGTTCAAACGATCTTAAACAGCCTACAATTTGAACACGATCAACACTGATCGTCATCTAACTTACTATTCATCCCTTTCAATTGCGATCACCTCTCCCTCGACCATGTTTGACAACACTTTGCGCACACTTAAACACGTCCATGGGAAATCTATCTGGTGATGAGCTGGTTACCATGTAAAGCGGTGACTGGACGATTACGCGATGTCGGCGTTGACAGCCACAATGAGTTTTTGGGAACAAATTTGGTGACAAATGTCCAAGAGCAGCAACGCCCATGGTGACTGAACTGTCTCAGCTCAAATCGTCTTTCAGTAGCTTGTTGTGCAGGCTCCCACGGGAAGCGTGACAATACTTGTGATTTCATACGTTGCCAACAAACCTCGAGTTGTATTACCCCGACTGAAATCATAATTGGCTTTCCTTCGCAATGTTGTGTGAAAATGTTTGGGCAAGGATAAGCCAAAACCTTGTTCGTGGTTGAACCAAAAAGCAGAACGTAGCGGGCGTTGTCAGTGAGCTCATGCATATCTGGTTGATCGATGAGCTCACTCGTGATGTTCGGGTACTTGACTTTTGTGGACCTCCTCGTTGAGCTTTGTTTCTTAGGTCAACTCATCACTGGCTTCGAAGTTGTGTGTATGTGAGCATGTGCGCGCACACCATGCACGCGCGTTTGTGTTGAGCATGCGTAGAGATTGAACAATTGAATTGACAAATTTAAGTCTTGTTTGTCTATCATGCGAAATCAAGGCGAACAATCCACTGCAGAGGGTCGGCACACATCGATCAATGCATGTTTAAAAAAAGTGCTCACATCACCATTGCATTTCACGCGTGGCATCAAGACATTTCTTATTTGCCAACTGAGAGTTGATCGCAGATAGCAGCTACCTGGCTTTCGGGATAACGCAATTGTGCGTTTCGTGGCGCTAGCAATTTCTGAACCACTTCCCGCGGATCTTCGCTTTCTCTCAAAGCGTTCATCCAGGCTCGTTCGAGCTCTTTCTTAATCTCATCATAGGCACTGCCTACCAGCGGCGCACCACGTTCATCCTCAGCTTTGACGTCAACCTCGCCATTGATCAGCAAAAACATGCCGAGTCCATCGCTCCCCAACAGCTCTAGAGCACGAGGTGTCGACGTCTGTGGCAATTGGACGATGCAAGCCTTTTTTTCATCGTGGGGCCAAGCATGAGGCAAGCGCACATAGGGATCGGTCTCGTGCTGGTATAGGCGGTCCACCTCGCGCTCTGTAACAATCGTGATTTGTCGTTCCCCCCCCTCAAAGCGCACAACACACGCGCGCACATAGGGGAGCCGCGTCTCGTGCTCTAATCCTGCAGACCATTGGTACCAATTCTGAGTGCAGAAGAATTCAGTGTTTGCTGGCCAATTCAAGCGCAAATCTTTCAAGGCCGCACAGGTTTTCAGCATCTTCAGAGGAAGCGTCTTCAGCTCCTTAGGAGAGCCTTGCAACAGAATCTCCACGTTCCAGAGGCTTTCTTGCTTAGGCTCCACACTCAAAACTTCTTGTTCCACCTCTTCCTGTTCTTCTTCCTCCTGTTGCTCTTCACGCTCAATTTCCAAGTCTTCGCCCAAGGCTGCTGCGGAGGCAGCCTTTAGCTCTTCTTGCGTTAGTCCATAGCGTCCACAATGTTTCAGCACGCGCGCAATGCCCCTTTGGAGCCCATCTTCACACTCTGCACGATCACATTCTGCATGAAGCGTTGAGTACTGTGGTTCCAGCACTTCTTTGTTGTAGCGCTTGGCAGCTTCTTTCACAGTGAGTGTATCATTAGGCATGCCATAGCAGGATTCAGGCTCATTTATCTCGTCAAGTACAAACATGCCTTCATGTACTTTGCTATATGCAAACTGAAGGCCCTGCTTAGCCCACAAATGAAGCCCGCCCAAGTTGCGACTTTTCGTATTTGCCATGACGAATTCGATCACATCTTGGATTTCCACACGTTGAGAGGCGTTTCGGCCTGGCAACTTTTGAATCGCATCCAGCACATACTTGGGTGCCGCAAATAGAAACTTTTGGCCACGCTGAAGCTGTCGCAGGCGACCTGCTGCTTGCATGAGCTCATCCTTGCAAACGTTCTTCCCCAACGTGATGATAGCCTTGGCTTGTTGTTTTAGCTTGTGGTCTGCTCCTCGGCATTGAAATTGGTCATAGATGACAAGGGCATCGGCTGAGGCCACTGCACTTTGTCGCAGGTTTTCTATCACGCCATTGCGGTGATGCACGACCCATCGTTGCCGTGGATCACGCAGCGAGTACACCACATGGGTCCACGTGCTGTTCTCAAAAATGTACTTGGCGCACGCGCTCAACGACTTGCCTGCAAGCTGAGCCCCCACATCAATCAAGGCGTGGGCCCCCTCCTTCAGCACGGCTGCCAGCACCAGCTCCATGACGGGAGTGTCGGGACCCTCTGCAATGTTGTCGAGGCAGAGTACCTCATTGCGCACGCAGTGGGCTTCAAGTGCGCGCACCATCATGCCGTTGGTTGCGGCGAGCTCACGATCAACATCCTCTTTTGTCGGTCGCAGACTAGCAGCGGCACCGACGAGCTCGTTCATGTCTGGCACCGGACAAACGGCAAAGGGAAGAGTGAGGTTGGTGTCGTTGGTTCCAGAGAAGCCCATCTGTTCCGGCACGTCAGCCAAGTGCCAAGGGGTTGCTTGCAGTCGTTTGGGATATTCGCAGGTGTCGCGAGGCAGCACGACCTCACGCAGCCAAAAGTTAATGCACTCGTAATTGCGACGAAAGCACTCCCACACTCGCTGCACTTGGTTAGAGTCCTTGACGTCCAACTCATCAGCCTTGTCAGGCACACGCTGGTGCTGCTTGATGTGCTCGCCAGCCGCGCGTCGCCAACTCTGATAAACGGTCTCTTGCCGACTAGGCTGGAGTCGGCCAAGGCGTTGAAGCGCATCTTGCATGCCTTCGAGGGATAAGCCGTCCGTGTACCACGTTAGATGAGTCATGACCAACAACTTGTCAATGTCAGCAAACTCACTCCGCGTGGTGGGTGAGTCCGTGGCCTCGTAGGGAACCGACAGCTGCTTTTTGCGTCGGTTGTCTGACCCGTAATTGACATTGACGCGACGATGCAACACTTGGACCAATATTCCATGTGCCAGCAGACCCCGCAGCACGCACAATTGGGCCCTTTTGTCCTCGGCCAGAGCGCCACCAAGTGAATCATGCAGCGAGGCTGTTGGCTCGCACAAAAACTCTTCTACGTGATGCTTGTCAGAGCTTGTGAGGCCCTGCAACCATTTGAGTTCAGGTCGGGTGTCATGCTCTGTCGAGCAGAGTGCCCGACACATGGCTCGAAGAAGCTGCATCTTTTTCTCCAAAGGCACGGAGTCGCTGACAACCAAGGGCACCGCGAACGCACTGGGGTCACTGCACTGCTCGCGATGTTCCGCAACAATCCATTTGGTACCATCAGACATGAGCATTGCCTCATTCATGTCATCGGTTGGGTGATGAAGCAAGCTGAGCAAAGTTTGACAAGCTGCCACGCGTTCAGCACGGCGTGAAACGGCTTGGCGGGGCCCATCGGCGTAGATGAGCTCATAATGAAAGTCCAAAATCTTGTCAATCTCGTCGTAAATATGCACACGCGGCATGGTTTTCAATAAATCGCGCAGTCCCTTGGACAAGGCCGGAGCACAGGAGTTCAGCTCGATGCACTTGAGCTCCGGCGATAGCAGGTCACTGGAGCGTAATACAACCGCACCACCATCAGTTCGGCGCAATGCCTCAAGGCGCTGTCTAGCCCGAGGTAGCCAGTTGGCCTCAACCGTGACTTGGCGGTCAAAGTGCAGCTGCAGCAGTGGCAACTGGAAGACGCTGGCCGTCAGCGTGCGTTGCAAATGGTCAAGCGATTGGTCCACCAGTTGAGGCAAGAAGAAGACAAAAGGTAGTGGACGCTGTGAGCGGCGACGAACGCGCTGATGTAGCAGAAGCAACGGCAGAATCACTTTGCTTTTGCCTTCTCCCATGTTCAGCTGTAGCAAGGGAGCTTTGCCGGCTTTTGAGTCTCGAATCAACGTCCAGGCAACATGGTATTGCTTGGGTCGGATCTGAAGTTGGTTTTCAACCTCAAAAACAAGCCAGGCACGCTCTGTCGCCCGGCGAATTGCATCATCCCCCGTTTGGTGGCGTTGCATCTCAAATTCATGGTCTGCAGGCTGCTGCCAGATCAATCGCGTCGTGGTGAGTTCCAGGAGCAGTAGTTGCCGTAAGCCTTCTTGCTCGTCTTTTGACACAGCGTACATGCATTGAACCAGGCGCGACAGGCGATCAACCCGCTGCTCGAGCACACAAAGCTCCATCCATTGTTTTGCCAACTTCAGTAGATGATGCATGTCTTCAAGGTTGATAAAAAAATTGAATTCGCATGCCCGCGACCAGCACTCGTGGGCGTCCCTCCCGGCACATATATACAGCAGCCCTCGGGGGGAGGCTTGGCGCATATGGCCCGACGTCAAAAGAAGTTGGTACCGGGCACAAATGGGATCGTCGTTCAAGACATTCTCGCTCATTGTTGGGTTGAGTACGGCTGCAATGGCCTGCCATAACGCCTGTCGAGAATCAATCCTAGTGCGTTGTTTAGCAAGAATAGCTTCGACGCTCTGCTCCGACACGTCGAATTGCACGCTTGCACGGTAATCATGGAGCTCTTTGCTCTTCTCGAGTTGCTGATGCAGGTGGCGACCAATGGATGTGGTGGCCGCTGGTTTGGTTGTTTTGTCACGGCTCGCCTTAGCAATCTCGAGCAACAGCGAGGTCAGACGCTCACGATGTTCGGGCAATATATTCTTATTGTTTTTAAGATTGTCCAGCTCTGCTGCCCACGTTGTCGTTGAATCAGTGGCACCCATACGTGGCACAGGTCGCTGAGTGACAAGATGCAAGAGCTCTTCCTCCATAGCTCGCACGGATGGGATTTTGTCGGCTTCGGTTCGGGCTGCGTCAAGCAAAGTCTGAGTGGTGTGGCTACCATGAGATGCCCTATCGGCATTTGATATGCGCGACCCATCCGTATCAAGCTCGCAGTCGCCGAGAAAGGGTCGAGGAAGGGCCCTGCCACTCGGCTGCGGCATTTCCAATACGTCACGCTCTGAGCGATCAAGTCTTGCTGTAACGGGCAGCTCCTGTTCGACCATCTGATACCACGCCAATTCACTGGGCGTGTTCCACTCTTTGCAAGGATCGTCTGCCTGCCTGTCCCAAGACCGTCCTTGACGCAGCGTGGCAAGGGCACGAAGCCGTAGCAGAGCAAATTCTGATTCTGACTTGTCGGCCATTTGCCAGATGTAGTCCTCTTCCTCAAGTGTTGACTCTGTGGGGGCTTGCGCCCAATGCGAACTTTCTCGAAGAAGCTCCGCGGCTTTGTCCGCCACGAACAGACCTGAATTCTTCTCCATCAAGTGCATTGGCAGCCGACTGTATTCGCGAGCAAGAAAGAGACGTGACATCCGCGATGCTGCCTCGAGATGGCCGAGTATGCCATGAATACTGAAAATAAAGGTACGAATGCGTGGCAGCTGCCCAGGCTTGGGCTTCGCTGACTCGCCGTCTCGATCTGGCATTAGCACCACCTGTCGCGCAAGTTGCAGTAGGTCAGCTGGACGTGAACCCCCATCGTGCCGCTCGAGTACGAGGTACGCAGTGTGTGAAGGTAGCAAATTGTGCAGCAGCTGGTCTTTGGCCAGGCGGTAACCGCGATGTGTAATGGACAAGAGTCCCTCTGCTGGTATCAGAGATAGCTGTGTGCCGCATTGGAGCAAGTCAATCTCAAGCTGAGAAACACCCTCCGTGGGCAGATGCCAAGTGATGTACGCCAAACTATCCACCCGCTTCAGCACCTTGCTCAGCTGTAACAGCTCTGGAACGGCTTGCACAGCCTCTGGCCAGATCCAGGTGAACCAACTGCTGTCATTATTGCTGTTGCTGATGTTGGTTGACACATGTTCCCAGGCCTTGTGGAATAGCTTGGGGATGGATGACCCATCCTGATTTGATGGTACCCTCAACAGAGAGCGGCGCTGGTTCTCATCGGCGACGCACACGTACGCAGCTACCTGAGCTTGTATATTGAGCGCGCCTTGGGTAGGGTCTTTGCGCCAAACGACAGACTTGGTGGCTGGTGACATCCATGGAACATGGAGGTCATCAATCGGTTTAGCCCCAGTCTTTATCTCTGGTGCGTAGAGCAGCTCATGCTCGGGGTCGTCTCGATGATCCTCAGGGGTCTGATAAATGTTCAAGCGGTTGTTCTTCACTGTAAAGCGATAGTGATGCCCATCAAAAGGCGCAACCGATCGATACGTCCTGCCGTCCCGGTCTGAAGTCACCTTGAAGCGTCGGTCACCAAAGAGGTTGCGATAAGAATCATCTTGCAGCATGCGAGGGGGCAGGAGGCCAGGCGGTTTGCCGTTGAAGAGCATGTCCCCCGTCAGCATGTTGATGGCAATCTCGCCTTCGTTGATCACCAACGCAGTCAAGCGGTTTCGACCCAGTTTGCAACTTGATGTCCCATTGCGTGAAGTAGATGCTTCACCGCCAGGGCGATTCAAGCTTTCCTGACACCAGGCTTCCACCTGGGCCGCAAAACTTGCATCATTGAGAGCGTCCATGAGCTCTGGATGCAAAAAATGCAGCGCTTCGGTCATGAGTGTATTGGTGGCATCGGAGAAAACACGATTGCGGCAGCTCACTGCTTCGCTAGGCGCCTCGGCCATCAGACTCTGACGGCTGCTGAGAATGCGCAGGCAAACCAAGCGTCGGAGTGCCCGCTGGCGCTTTGGCGGCGATAGCACTCGCCAGTCCACAAAACGAAAAGCAAGAAGAGCTAAGCTGAAGGCGTCAAAACGTCGCTGAGTCAAGTCATCGGCCTCTTTGTGGTAACCGTTTTGAATCGCGTGGTTCAGCTGCTTGGCCCATTCTCGTGCATGTTCATGCAGAAAATCTGTGAGCTTCATCAGGAGATCAAAGGCAGTCAGGCTGGCCTTGTGACCATTGTCACCAGGTGAATATTCACTGCTTGCGTCCTCATCCCTGTCAAAGGCGGTGAGACATCCAGCCAAGGCACCCAGCGTTGCTGCATCTGGCAACAGCTTTGTGGCTCGACCCAGACGGGCCATTGCGCCGTCGAGGGCCACAAGAAAGGCCTTGTGTGCGTGGTCATCTTGCGTCGTCCATGCCCACCGTCTGCCGTGCGCTTTGTCGTTCTCCGTTGTTACGTTCACAGGGCCCACCTCCGCAAGAATGGCCAGACAGGTTCGCGCCACTCTGGCATCGCTGAGAGGTAGTACACCTGTGCGTAGAACAGCAGCTAATTGCTGCCATTGTGCTAGGGCACCAGCACGCAGGGCAGAAATGGCCTCACTCGCCTCCAGGCTGTCGTTCCAACCCAGAGCGTATGGAAAAGCCTTGCCATAGTTGCCTCGGTCGTTTCTGGGCTCATCGTCCTCAAGAACAGGTGTGTCTGCAATGTGTCGAAAGTGGCTGCTGCTGTCATCAGCTTGGTTCTTGTCATCGGGTGGCAGAGCCCCATACAAGGCAACGATCTCTGCAAGAGACTTGCGCTTGTAAACAGCATAAGGCTGGCCTTCCTCAGGACGCATGTAGTAGACATCATCTTCTCGGCCGTCAAGCGCTCCGACGTTGGAATATTGGGACGTGGTGCGTGCAACACGCACATACCAAAATGCAGGAAAACAAGCGTCGGTGGCTTGCGCTCGATCCTGGTCCCCTGCCTTATGCTCGTTGAAGAACGTTTGCATGGGGGTGAAAGAGGATTTGCTACTTTTGTACTGGTCGGGCCGCGACTGATCTTTATCATGCGTCTGAAGCACTACAGTAATCATTGCTTTCATCAAGACCTGAAAGCGAAGTGGCGTGAAAAGAATGAACAGTGCTTGAAGACCGCTAAGGTCATCTTTTGGCAGTGAAAGCTGAACAGGGTAAGGTGGCTTTCGAGCCGTCATGCGCGTCTCTTCGTGGCTTTCGACTGTGGTGTTCCACCGGTCGTATTGCCTTTGTTTGTCCTCTTGAACATCGGCAGCACTGTCCGTGTCCCCGGAAAGGGCTTGACATTTGATGCAATAGTACACTGGACACTGTCCGTAGTGGCGTTCATACAGCCGCCTTTTCATATCTGCCTCAGCTAACGCCGATTCAAGCTCCCGATGAGCGGTTTTTAGGTGTGGACGGTTTTCTTGCAGCCACTTTGTTTCCAAACGCTCCGTCTTTTGCTTTTCCAAAGTTTCTTTCCAATGTCGCGCCTTCTTCTCCTCGTCATGCTTGCGCTCAAGCACAAGGCGAGAACGCAAGGCTTTGTATGTATTGGACGACCAATCTGCATAATTTTGCGCGAAATCCGAATCTAGCCCGAACAAGTGTCCTTTGCACCAGCCAAGCGGATCTTGGTTAGCGCGGTGAACTCTGCTTCGTAAGAACCGCACGATCTGTTGGCAGCAGCGCTGGTCTCTGGAATACGGGAGCGTCCATGTCTTGACCTGTTCGTCAATCTGGGGCATGGGGTATTTGGTCCAACCCAGTCGCTCATAAACTTGCTCTGCAGCGCAACGCAGAATCACCAACACGCCAGCCTCCATTAGGGCGACTTTGGAGCGTAGAACGCCTGGCGGAGCTAAAACTTCTGCCACAAACGGCGTGGTAATGTCTGGTTCTTCTGGAGCTGTCAATATGTCCATAAGCTCGTCTGTCTTCTCCCGATAACAAGCCAGCAACTCCATGAGGCGTTGATCTTGACCTTCTTCCAGCAACAAGTTTTCTTCGTTGTCCACACGCGTAAGGAAGCCATGCACCAACTGTTCAAAGAGCAACCTGAAACGTATTGTCTGGGACAATTTTTGGCTGCGTGACACTGCGTTTGGCCTGTAAGCAGTGCATGTCTCGATGGTCACTTGTCCAGAGTTTAACTCATTGAATAAGTCTGTGTCATGCGGTATGCTTTCGCCGAGGTCTTGGCAAATTGCCTCGAGGTCGAGTGCTTGCAGCGGAGCTGGGATACACTGAGTCAAATCGGCAATTGTTTCATTGAGCCGCTCAGCTAGATCTTGAGGCAAATGGCGAGACACTTGATCAAAGTCGAGATTGTCAAAGTCTGGTAAGCATGATGCCTCGGTGGAAGAGATCGCCTCATCTCGCGTTGGCCATGAGATTTGCATGTCATGGCAGAGCTCACAAAAGCTGGCGTGCAGCAGAGGATCATGTACTGCACGTAATTTCTGACCGAAGGTATTTGCAAGCATCGTCCAGCGCTGCAAGGCCTTATGATGCGGTTGATCGATTTTTCCTATATCGATCATGGTACACGTGGTGAGATGAAGATACGAAGGCAACATATTATTCGGTTTGGTAAAAGATAGTGTGTCGGGTTCGGGTTCAAAAGCCTGAAGATGTTTCGGGAAATGAGACTGACTTGGTGCATTGGACGTGGTAACAAAGGCAGCAAAGCGCAGAAGAAGGAGTTCTTCGGCCAGGGGACTTGCTCGTTTCGGTGGTGGGCTGGCCCATGGATCTTCTTGCCTGATTCGGAGGGCATACAGCACGAGCTCCCGCAGCACTGGCCAAGCAGTCGGCTTGTGAGCCGTGTGGGTGTGCTGACCAAAATCCAGCGTACCATCTATTACCGACAAATAGCACAGCAAGGGTCAGTCATAGGATACACTCCCACATCATGTGGCTGGCAGATGCAGTGGCTTATCATGAAGTTCATTTTCGACCGAAAAGTTGCCCGAAGAGCAAGTATACAGCGTACCGGTAAATTCAAAGGAATCATCGACTGGTGTTTTTGAGGTTTGCAGTGCAGTAAGTGCATGTTTGCAAGCCCCATGGATGAAGCCTGGGGTACTGTGGTGCTTCTTTTCCTGGTTCTGCGACTTTTTGCTCTTATAGCGAAGCTTTCCAGCAACCTCCAGAGCCGTCTCGGCCACCTCTTGCGCTTTTTCCAGTTCATAAACCACGCCAACAGGGAGAGCTTGCTGTCCTCGGCTGAGCAGGACCGGCTTGTTGGGAGGTGTGAGGTACTGCAAGGCATGAACATCGAGACTCAGAACCTCGAGGTGATAATCACCACCAGCATTGGTGCGGCTGACGATGGCACAACCATATTCCAAGCAGAGAGCATGGACCAACAGACACGGCTTGCCAAGGCGGTGCAGGTTGGCAGCCAGGTCTTGCGGTGTCCGCGCCGTCTCGACGTTAGCCTCACTGCTGGCCTCACAGTCGGCCTCACTGTTGGCCTCATTCTTTTGATCGGCAAGGGGCTGGACCATGAGCAAAGCTTGGGGAAGCAACTGCCACAAGCGGCGATCCTCGGCCAGTGGTGTGTTGGCATCATGTGCTGGCGCGGCTTTTGTAAAGGCTACAAGCAAGCTCAAGCATTCTTCGTAAAGCCCTTTGCGTTGACTTGGCTTGCCACCCTTTGGCTGCCCCAAAATGGCATCAAGCGCCTGGGCCGAACATGTCAGTCCAGACACCATCTCTTCGGGCAATTCTGGGTGAACCATCAAGTCGATGGGCCACGTTTGGCGGGCAGCCATCCTTGTGAGTGATGGATTCGATCGCATCAACCCCTGAAGCTTGAAGAGAAAGAAAATGCCACTTGCTCATCAAGAGGGAAAAAGGCACAAAGCCCCTCGTTCGATCGAGGAGGCGGCATTGGCACATCAGTCCGCCCACACACATCCACAACACAAAACACGCACTTCTCATAAGAACAAATGTCAGACTCGTTGGTTTTGCTTTCATGGCACGTGTGGTGTGTGTGTGTGTGTGTGTGTGTGTGTGTGTGTGTGTGTGTGTGTGTGTGTGTGTTGGGGGAGGGATGGGGGGCAGAGGTGGGAGGTGGGGCCAGTGTCAATGCAATGTCGATTGACACGACTCATGATGACCTCGGGTGGTGACGTAGGGAGGGGAGGGATCGTAACCGCAACGTGGCAGGCTACCCCCTTTTTGGACTGGATTTTGTTTTTCTGTTATTCGTCACACTTGAAAGCAACAAGAAGGAAGTGGAGTCCTTATGGTTATGGTGATGATCTCACCGCAAGCCATGCACCTTCGTGCCTTCCTTTTCTCTATGTGGTGGGAACTGGAGGGACATTATGTGGCCAGGCGTGGCATAGCGTTTGGTTTGTCGTTTACTTAAAAGGCGAAAAATTGGAGGATCAGACCCACTAGGCAGGCGACAAACAGCCAACGTAGCGGTGACGCCGGGCTGGCTTGACGGGTAGCGGTGACTCGACCCGTGTTATCGTAAAAGGCCATGCCTCGGACAACTCTGAGCAGGGCGGCCTCCCAGTGAATGAGGAGGGAGGTCCAGAGGGCCGATGGGAACCAGCGCCGAGATCGAGTCGTGGCTGCCAATTTCATCGAGGCTGTGACAATGGGCTGCGTGGCCGTGGCCGTTGGTAGCAGATCAACCTTGAAGAAGAAGGAGGACATGTTCCCATTGGCGGGCAAGCTGTAGGCGAATCGCCAATGGGCTCGTCCGTCCGGAACAGTGTTAAAGGGAGAAACGTGCAGGGATTTGGGCAGCTTAATGTTTGAGGCGGTCCGTTCGCCCCGGGTGGGAATGACCAAGACGGTGCGCTCCTTCCACGGCGTATTCGTGACTTCCACCACAAGGTGTGTGACGCTGGTGCGAGCATCATCCGCCCAGCACAGGAAAATGGAAATGGGATTGAAGCAAAATCCAAAGCGCCGAAGCAGGGTCACTAGGCTGATGGGTCCAGTGGGCCATTCTCCCGTTTGCCGGCACACCTCATTCCGCACAACCTCGCTTAAAGAGCGCTGCAGGTTCATCAAACCGGCGCTGACGTGAATGATCAAGGAAGCCTGCATGCTGAACGGGGCAAGAGAATACGCGTGTTCTGTGGGCTTACCTCAGAATCCCCAAAGTGGTCGGCACGACAGAGTCCACCCCACCATTTAGAGAAGCCGGCATCAATGTCCACACAGTCGTACTCCAGCTGGTAGCTGAAAGCATGCACCACCTTGCCCGATGCGTCAAACCTATGCCCGGGGAAGCGGGCAACGACACGGACCACAACCAATTTTCACGAGTCGGAATAAGTGAAGGCGCACTGGCAGAATGTGTCAGCTGGAAGAAACAGGGCCATGCCCGGGGGTTTAAAGTACCGCGTATGGTTTGTAACTCCTGTCATCAGTACACTCGTGGGTGCAAAGTGATCAACCACCTAACATCAGGAGAGGGGCAATTTATCTTGAGCAATCGAGGTCTGGTGGCAAGCCTGAGAAAGTTACTTGCAAGGTTTAAACGAGATGCACACAAACGACAGGAAAAAAAAAAGAAAAAAAAAAAAGAGAGACTCCCTTGCTCCCACTAGACGTACGGGTAGCAGAGGAATGGCCTTTGAGTTGAGGAGGCATCTTGCAACTTCAATCCCGCTGCGAAAGCCATCCTCGTGGAATCCGTAGTGCAGATATGCGCCTATGGAGAAACCAGGGCCGGTGCCCAGTCAAGAGTGCAGGTGGGATGCCAAGCAAACATCTTCGAGTCTGCGGAACTCACCGGCCAAGTAGATGCCACGATGGCCTTGGTAGGACGACCAGACATGTCGCTGGGCTTCGGCGGCCGCTATGCCCATGATTGGGTGCACGACTGAGCGAGATTCAAGAAGCAGCTCTTGGGCTGGACCGGCAAAGGCTTTGTTGGGTGGGTTCAAGGTAATGAAGAGATCGTGCTCGGCCACGTGCTGGAGTGGCTTGAGCCAGTAAGTCAGAACTGGGGCAGCTGCTTTGTCTTCGCGGTCCAAGACGTTCCACGAGGCCCAATGATGGGTGTTCCTATTTCATTGTGCGAGCTGGTAAATCCACCAAACCAAGGGCGACAACGGGAGGGGGAATAGAAACACAGTTCTGAAGCATGAAGAGCCTTACTTGGGCATGAGTTGCCGGTTTCGGTGGACGCAAAGCTGAGTGCGGCTGGTGGCAAAGGCGCCGAGGATCGCAGCGTCCCGCTCGTCGAGCTCGGCAAGCAGGTGCTGCGCCACACCAGCAGGGGTGGCCAGAACCACTTTGTCATATGTTGTGGTAATTGGCGTTGTGCTGTTGTGCTCGTTCTGAGTTGTGAGATCAAGGCGGCCGTCGGGGCGCCGCTGGACTTTTGTGACACGCGTGGCAGTTTGCACCTGGACAGAATGCTGCTCCAGAAGCATTGCAAAGCGTTCCAGGGTAACGGTGGTTCGACCTTTCGGGGTGTACCATTGCGGAGAAGACCAGGACAGGAAGCCATGGTTGCGCAAAAACTGGAGGATGGTCCAAGCCTCCATGTCAAAGGCGGCGGTGCGCTTGGCTGACCAGACGGCCTCACAAAAGGGACGCAGCCAACCCTCGGCAAAGGGGGTGTCGTAGCCTTGCTGAGCACAGAATTCACCCAGGGTAAGGGCAGGAGGTGGGGTGTCGGTGTTGGTGTGCTGCTTGAGAAATTGGCGGGCCTCGTGGTGAAAGCGATGCTTGTCGCGTAAGAAGCTGTGAAATTCGGGCTTGGTCAATAGACGCAAATAATCGGACAGGGCACCTCCGAAGCGCCAGCTCAGAGACGGGGTCTCAACAGCAAAGCTCATATCAGTGGGCTCGATCGGGATGTGGTGTTCTTGGTAAAAGCGGAGCAGGTTGGGGTAGGTTTCCGCGTTGAACACCTGCGTGGGGCGAGCAGCATCCTAGTGTTAGTGATTTTGATTTGGGTGCGCACAAGAGTGGACGGACCTGAGGTGGAAGCATGATGTGAAGGCTTACCATGTATCCAAGGTCGACAGTACCATACTTGGTGGCCAAGGGCATTTCATGGCCTCCAAGCACATCTTCTTGCTCGAGTAGCGAGACACGCACGTTGCCCCCGCCGTATTTGGCCAAATGGTAGGCTGTGCTGAGGCCAGCAATGCCAGCACCCACCACCGCCACGCGAAGCGGTGCGTCTGCCCCCTCACTCATTGTTGCGGCTGAGCAGCAGGTGGATAAGGGGTCTCAGCACAGTCGGGTCTGGCAGCGAGTGATGCAAGTTCAAGGGGCAAGCCAGTAAGCCGAGTGTATCGGGACGGGTCAAGTGCCGGGGTGGCGGATAGTGGGCAGATGTATGTGTGAGTTTGTGTCCGTGTGTGTCGAGCACGGCTCGAGAAGAAATTGCCTCGCCTCACACCCAGGCGTCTGTCTGTGACTTCCACCAAGCGTTGTAAACCCCCCCGTTGTTGTATCATATGCTTCTGCTGCCAACTACTGCAAATGTGTGTGAGTGCGCACCAGCGTGCCAGTGTGTGCGTGGGTCGCGGCGATCGTGACGCTCGAATCACTCTCTTTCACTCCATGCTTTGACTCCATGCTTTGATGATGTAAACCACCCCATGAGAGTTGAGGCTGCTGATCGCAGAGAAGATGCGCCGATCCGCTACACGCCCACCTTACAAGCTTGCAACGGGCGACGCGTTGGTGTCGCTATATTCGCGGTTCAAGACGAATTCCCATGTCCATCATACTCTGGAGCCATTTCTTACGCAATGTGTGTGAGAGAGAGAGTGTGAGAGAGTGAGAGAGAGAGTGGAAGAGAGAGAGAGAGAGAGAGAAGAGAGAGAAGAGAGAGAGAGAGTGAGTGAGAGAGAGAAGAGAGAGAGAGAGAGAGAGAGAGAGAGAGAGAGAGAGAGAGAGAGAGAGAGAGAGAGAGAGAGAGAGTGTGTGTGTGTGTGTGCAAGAATAGAGTTCATGAAGACGTCAAGTCATGAAGGCGTCCTCTTTCTCTACGAGCCTCTGGGTCGGGGGTGGTGGTCAAGCGAAGCGTCGAACCACGGATCGTGGGGGTTCAGGGATGTTCAGGGCGTTGATTCTCGAATCTGCACAAGGACCTGGCCTTCAGGAGCAATGGGGCAGAAAGGCGAAGACTCGGGAACAAGAGAGAAAGCTTCAAATTGAGAGATGGGGAGCAAAACGACCTGCCCACCAACAGACATGGGGCGCCGTAACAACATGCGTACTCACGCCACCACGCGACAAATCAGGAGGGGTTTGCCGCTGGCGAGGGCATTAACATTGACGAGCCCGGATTGCTTCTTTTCCCTTCCTCTCTTTCTCCCTCTCGTTCCCTCTCTATAATGATTTCATCCTTTATTTTCAAGGCATGCCAAGACTGTTATCATGCTGGTTTGGTCAATGGAGCGGGTCGAGCAGGCACAGGCGTGGGCGCTGCAGCCGTCGATGCTGTTTGGTCCACTCGGTTGACAGCCTGTCGGGAGTTATCATGCATCATCAGACGTGCCAGAGGCAAACTTTTCGCGCGAGGCACTGTGGACCAACCTCTTGAACGGCATCGAAAAGGGCCAACCCGGCATTGTAGCGCGGCACAAACTCGGCAAGTGGTCGAAAGCGCCCATCGGTAGGCGGGTAGCGCAGCTTGGGCCCAAAATTGACGCGCACCTGTGTCGAGTTTCAGTCATCAGGAAACAGTCACCCCGGAATCTCAAACGCTCGGGAGCAAGGCGGCCAGTGCGGCGCGGCACTTTGCACTGATGCTGCGTACCTGGCTATTGAAATAGAGTGAAACGGTTGGATAGTATCGCCCTTTGGGTACGTCAAGGGCCATGCTACCCAATAGCTGACCATTCTTGTAGCACATCATCCGCGAACCCACGCAAACCTGAGACGCAAGTACAAGCAGACAGTCCACATCCGTCAGATCACGCTCCCATTAAAGCAAGCAGAAGCCGTTGCTTGAACTTTCCAACCCCCCCCTGTCCCTGCGTCTCTGCATCCCCCTGTAACCCAGCGCCCCAGCACCCGTTCCCGACCTCATCGACGCGCGTGACTAGGGTCGTCTCGAGATAGGCCAGGCCCTTGAGGTCCACGGCCTCTGCTTCTGGAGGCGCGGGAGAGAGATCCAACAGCGATTCTTGGCCGGGCAGCTCAATGGCCAAGCCGAGCACATCGCCAGGCCCAAACGCGCCTTGCTCCCCAAGACGGGTTTTGTCGCCACGCCCCCGATGAAAGCAGGCACCATCCTTGTCTCGCCATGAGAATGAAAGACCATCAAAGCCACATGGGTACTGCACATCGCCTATGAGACCGCAGCCCAAAGCCAAGCATGTGCAGTGCCAAAAGATACGACGGGTGAGATGGAAACGAATGTCGGATGTTTTGTGCACAAGAGCAGGGGCGTCGGAGCACGTACATCCGCCCTGAGACCAGCCCACGCGGACATGGCCTTCGGGATAATTGGGCGCCAGGGGCGTGGCTCGGGGCAAGACCTCGACCTCCCAGTACCAGCACCCGTGCGCAACGCCCAATCCGGCCCGCGCCGAACAGTAGCCCTTGGACCCCACAAGTACGGCGTTGTCATCAAGGAGGGTCAGTTGCTGCGCTTTATCTTGCTCACTCAGCGCCAGAGGCCGATCATAGCCACAGAGGCGCCAGTGATTGGGCCGATATGGGTCAGCCTCGGCCGAGTAAAATCGGAAGCGTTCTTGATTAAAGGCATGTGCATCTTGCAGCACCTCCTTTTTGGCACGACGGGCGGCATGATCGTTCGATTGGGTGGGTTCAGTGTGGCGGCGCTTGCTCTTGTGCGAGCCGGTCGTGGCCATTTTGAGTTTGTGAGTGGAGGGGAGCCAATTCACAAAATCCTGAGACCAGTCGCATGTGAGCCACGGGCGGGCAGGCAGGCACAGCCGAAAACGATTTTTATTTTGTCATTTTGCCAAGCCCGCATGGCGTAGGTGAAGGCATAGCGGCGATGCGCGCACATGACCGTACCTCCAGATGCGTCATCCGAAAGCAGCGCGAATCACCTCGCTCAGACACGCTCGGTCCGAGTCGACGCTGCAGGGTGCGAGCAAAAAAAAAAAAAATAAATAAAAAAAAAAAATAGAGGAGTCCGTGTGAGCGCTGAGGGCGGGGTGAAGTGTGGGTGTAAAGCCAGGATTAAACAATGGGCACTATGGGCCTAGTTTGAACGACCGTTGGTAGGAGAGAAACAAACCAGAGTGGAGACGACGGTGCCTTGCAGGTTACTGCGACTGCGCGAGCTACTGCGGACGGCCTCCCAGTTTTCCTGCAACCATTGGCTAATCTGCTCGGATGAAAACTCGTCTTCCTCCTTCTCAGCGTGCAGGGCGTTGAGTGCCGCGATGGCACCGCTACGAAAAGCTGAACCCCAAAACACGATATAAAGCGTGAAAAAAGGTCAAGCTGAGCGGCGACAAGCCGGGTCAACGGCCGCGGAAGTCGGATGACAGCAAGGCACTGACAAGTTTCACCCAGTTCAATGTGTTCAGTGCCTTCATTGCAATTGGCGCAGGTGAAGCGATAGTTGACTTGGCCAACAGCCCAGGGACTGTGCGCCGTGGGCAGGAGAAAAGTGAGGTGAGGAATGGCACGGGACAGCCAGAGCAGGGTGGGCAGAGCAAGGCACCGGCACCTGGGTGGCTCGGAGATGCATTCGTAGTGAAACCAGTTGCGACAGCGCTCGCAGTAAAAGGCGCGAGACTTGAAGCAAAAGTCTTTGCCACTATGGTTGGGCAAGGAGACAGCAGCCGTGAGCATCATCGTCCCTGGTGCGCAGGACGCGCGCGCGAGCAGCGAGCAGAGAGGGTGTTACCAGTAGCAATAGCGGTGCTGCTCATTCTACGCGCTCAAGCGAAAGCAGGGAAACCGGCAAGACAGAAGGGGTGATGAACAGTGAGGGTTCACGATAGAAAAAGCCTCATCAGATGAAATGTGGTGAAAAGGGTGACTAGGGGGCAAGCCTTTTGCAGGCCTCTTGCGTGTCCGGGGGTCGACGGGACTACAGACAGACCACGCCTGCAGCACCTCCTTCCCGCTCCTGGCCTCATCATCACTCGAGTCCCGCGAGGCTGTTCTCATCCCGTCCCAACCGTCAGAATGCCGAGAACAGATACCCATCGCCTGGCGCACTCTGACCTGTGTGTGGTGGGCATTCCAGGTCAGTGCATCCGGATCGTACGGCAAGACCGGCCCGGACCGATCGTCCCGAGGCTCCTGCTTGACCTCGGATAAGGTCGCCATCCTAGCCCAAAGCTTGCGACTTGGTCGCGATCGTCAAGCCTGGAGAACAGAAGACAATCAAAACCGGAGACCCTGGGTGAGTCCCGTTTGTCTCTCCCTCACCACTGCCACCAATCAGCCCGCTGCCGTTTCACACCCGCACACACACACACATGTGCGCGCGGCGCGAGAGAGAGAGAGAGAGAGAGAGAGAGAGAGAGAGAGAGAGAGAGAGAGAGAGAGAGAGAGAGAGAGAGAGAGAGAGAGAGAGAGAGAGAGAGAGACCGTTGCAGCGTCCGATAAAATTAGCGGGTTCTTGTACTCTAAATTTAGAGCCAAACCATCTTGGAGTCGTACATGACAAAACGAACTGCTCTCCGTGTCTCTGCTCGTGACCATGGCTCATACCCATATCTCTGTATTTGGCTTGAAATTAAGCTAAGAGGTTCTTCCCATTCTCCCCCTCTCTCTCCTTTTCATGTGCAATTTCTTCTCTCTCTCTCTCTCTCTCTCTCTCCTCTCTCATCTCTCTCTCTCTCTCTCTCTCTCTCTCGACGAACGCGCTTCGGCCTCCCGGCGACTGGACTGGATCGGGATGGCCGAAGGTGCCGAGGCTGCTGCCTCTGTGGAGGATGGGGGGCTGAATCGGGCCGAGGTGGCGGATTTTGCTTTGTCCGCCATCAAACATGTCAAGCCGCTGGGGACGTCCAATGTCTGCGAGCGCGTTCAGGCCGAGACGTACGTGCGGCAACTGTATCGCGAGGAGCTGGCACAGGCCGAGCGCCACGCTCCCAAATACCACCTCCTCGTGCACATGAAGCATGCTCGCAACCTGCTGCCCAAGTACAAAAAGATCACGAGCCATCCCTTTGCCACCGCTGTCTACGGTAACGCCATGCGCCGAACTCCGACCATCGAGGACACGCTCGACCCCGACTTTGACTGTCAGCTTCAAATCCCGCTCGGCAGCGCCAAGCTCACGGCACCGCTCAAGCTGGCCGTCTGGTGCGATGCCCCTGCCGATGGCGAGCTTGATGATGTGTCCATCTCCTCCTCCACCAGCCGCTTTAGCTTTGCTCCCTGGCACCGCGCAGAAGAGCAGGTCCGCGAGGGCAAGGTCCGCTTCCTCGGCCAGGCCGCCCTCAAACCGGCCGAGGTCACCGAGCTCGCCCAGAGCGGCAAACCCGTCGAACTTGCTCTACAAAAGCGCAACCCACGATCCCATGTACGCGGCACCCTCACCGTCGCCTTTCGATTGATGAACGTCACTACCGCCAAGCTGCGCCCCGACGCCGTCGAGTATGCCGTCTCCCCACTCTGGGCCGTGCCACAACAACTTGGCAAGGAAGATGCTTTGGCCTGGCACGTCTGTCACGATGTTCTTGATCATGAAGCCCAGCGAATCGAGGCAAGACAAAATTTCTCGCTTGCGCGAGCACGCTTCAATTTTTCATGCCCACCCCCCA